TATAAATTAATATTTTTAAATATTATAATCTACTATATATTTTAAAAAAATACAAATTAATAAGATATCTATTAAACCAAACAAAACTTCTATATCCTTAATAAAATGTTGTGTGATTACAACTATAGCCAGGCAAATCATAAGATTGTATCAACTTGTTTTATATTATATATATTAGTATATATATACATTGAGTTCTTTGAATTCTAATCAAAGTTGCACTAGATTATAATATAAAAATGGTTAGATCTACAACATAGAATCACTTTCGATGGAAGAAACCAAAATAGATTTTATATTAAAAATTTGCTCCTGCGAAATCACATATTATATAGTTAGAGCAAATTAAGAAATAAAAAGAGATTATTTTATTTTTAATTCTGTGGCTCAAATTGTTTTTTTTAAAAAAAGTTGCTCCGCATTCATTGACTTATATCATGTGGAGCAGATCTCTTTTGATGTACGATATATAATTTATTTTTGATTTGGAAGATATTATGATGTGCTTAGACTAATTAATTTATACACGTGTCGTTAATGGATTATTTATAAAAGGGTGTTTTCGATGCATTCCCCCACATCAAGGGTTGCTACCATTGAATTCGTTTTAAGGTCCAGCACCAGAATAAATTATTGAGGGGACAATTCAGATACAACTGTGTGGCTCTTGAATTCATCCAAGTGTGCACCTAATCCACTTGTCTCAAAACTATCTGTAGTCCTTAATCGCCATTGCACCAAATTAACTTGAAAGCTGCTGAACGTATTAGATTATAACACGAGTAAGTAAGTAACAGATGGATGGATTTCATGAGACAAAGAATTGAGAGATATCTATATATTTATAGGAAAATAATTAGTACATTTTACAAAATTACACACTCTATTATACATCAATAATTTTTCTTCCTTATGCCGTTAAAGTTAACAGTTTATATTATTTATATCGTTAAAACTGATTATTTTTGTTAATTGTGCCGTTGAAACTAATGGTTTCTATTATACATTGACAGAAATCGTCAGTATGTAATGAAATATTTAATTATACAGAATATATGTATTATTATTTATATTTATAATGTGTTAAATTATAATTGACTCGTAGAGTATTTAAGCGATGTACTTGTGACATGAAAGGCTTCCCTCCTTAAACGGATTGATATTAAACATCAGTCATGTACAAACACACTTCTGCATGAATGAGGATAATCTCTAAAGAGGTTTAGGTTAAGTGATGCAACTAGAGAAGACAGCAGACACGCGTAGGTATTAATACCTCCCCATAAGAGTGGTGGGGAATTAAGGAATTGGCCCCATTCAAATCAAGATAGTGTAGTCACGTTTAGGTGAAACCACAAATAACCCCAACAAAAGATGGTGGGATCTCTTGAATTATCAACCATGATATCCAACAAGAACCTAATTTTCTAGAAACAGGACAACTTTTGTTTTTCTCTTTATTACGGTGGGGGGGGTGGGAGGGAGGAGAGAGAAGAGAGGGCGGAAGCCCCAAGGTCCGAACCCTAAACCTTGGGCGTTACAATTCTTTCATAGAGGAAATTGTTATAACGAGTGTTAACAAAAATTTAATTGAATTAATATTTATTTATAAAATCATGATTTTTTTATTTTTAAACAAGTAGTTAAGGGACGGGGTTCAAAACCCGCCTATGAGAAAAGGAGAATGTATCTCAACTTAATCGGGTGTCAATTACCCGAAAGATCAGGTGCATTTATAAAATTATGATTTAAAATAAAAATAAAGGGTTTAAACATATACGATATTTGAATATTTTTTTTATGTTATTTTGCATGATGCGAACATTTCTGACGGTTAACTGCCATTCAAAGAATTAAAAAAAGAAAAAAAAAAAACTGCCGGTCAAAGTTCCGCATCTGGACACCATTCCGTTTCGTTACCTGATTTTTTTTTTTTTTTAACATCGATTAATTTTTTTTATATTAATCTCTTGGTATTTAATAATTATATTGAGTTTTGACTAATTCAAAATCGAGTCGTATTAAACCCTATTTGAAGAAAAGTTCTTTGAGCGCTTTTTTTTTTTATTAACAATATTTAAACTCGAATTTTTACTTTAAAAAATCGAAATCTTTTTACTCAAACCAACAAATTGTTGATTTAAACTCGAATTTTTACTTTAAAAAATCGAAATCTTTCTACTCAAACCAACAAATTGTTGATTTTAACATCGACAACGATAAGCAATCATAAGAGAAGATAATTTTCATTTTTTTTAAAAATTCTTTCTCATTGAATTTAAAATCTTAATTATTGAGATACTTGTTTAGTCGAGGTTTTTAATTAGTTAATTGAGGCCCAAGAATCCCATGTTTTTCTGCGGGTGATGGGCTTAGCATAAATGGAATTGGGCCGTTGCATGCCGGCATTTATAGCCTCCTGCCCATCCCCATTCCCAAGCATGCGATGACACCGTTTCTTTAAACGTACTCGCCACAGCAGAAAATCACGGCAATGTTAACGCCAACGATAATATAAAGAGATGCGGTTTTAGGGTTAGCAACGGAGAAAGGAAAAAGAGAAAGTAAAAGTAAAGGTAATTATTCTCTGCACTCTACAGATTATGCAGTAAAAGTCCCGTAGGATTTATCTTTTAAGGTACGAAGTGATTTTCTTCTCTCTTTTTATTTGTATGTATAAACTTTACATGTATTTAGATTTTGTGATCCAATAATTATATATTTTATGGTAAAATGTACTTTTAATTTTAAGTTAAATTTAACAATTTAAATAATTCAGTGGTTATCTTTTTTTATTAGAAGTAAAAAATATTAAATTTGAGTCATATGACGGGGTGAGATAAGATGTACTTTTAATTTTAAGTTAGGTTTAACAACTTAAATAATTCGGTTATCTTTTTTCGTTAGAAGTAAGAGATATTAAATTTGAGTCGTATGACATGCGGGTAACGTGAAATAAAGATGAAAAATGAATATTTTTCATTGTGTAATAATCCTTCTTCCTCAAAAATTGTAACTTGTTGAAAAAAAATGGTGATCCAATAATTATATATTTCATGGTAAGATGCACTCTTAATCCTAAGGTCAGAGTTATAATCCTTCCTCCTCAAAATTTGTAACTTCTAAAAAAAAAAAGGAAGAGTATATATATAAAAACATTGTATGATATTATTTAAGTTATAATAGTAATTGGGTTTGAATCTTTGGTAGGAGTCTAGATATTTTATGCGTTGAGAGGCATAAATATTTTGGACAATGTTATGGAGTCCACAACTTCTATGATAAAATTGACAGAGTCGAATTACTTGGTTTGGAAGACAATGATGGAGGATTTCCCTTACTATAATGACTTGTATGATCCAGTAGAGGATGATTCTGCAAAACCAAGTGAGATGTCGGATAAAGATTGGGAGAAACTAAACAGAAAGACTGTTGCTGCCATTAGGCAATGTGTTGATATCAGTGTTTTTCATCATGTGGCTGAGGAGACCAGTGCACATCAACTGTGGAAGAAATTAGAAACACTTCATGAGAGGAAAAAGTTACATTTCACAAGGTTTTCACAATTAAAAAGCTTATGAATCTCAAGTACAAGGAGGGGGAGAGTCAGTTGTTGATCATTGCAAGGTTTTCGAAGATATTATCGATCAATTGTCAACAATGAAAGTAGTACTAGATGATGAGTTGCAAGCCCTATTTCTCCTGAGTTCTTTACCTGAAAGTTGGGAAAATCTTGTTTTCTTATGTAGCAACTCAGCTCCGGATGGGAAACTTAGTCTGCAGAACGTCAAAGAATGCATGTACAGCGAAGGATTAAGTAGAGCAGCCCAGAAGTTTAGAACTTGGTAGACAACTCCCCGAAGACAACATAACATGTGCAGTGTGCCAGTGAAGGAAGTGAAAGAAATAAGGATAGTCAATCTACTGGCAGGTCAAAGTCTGGAGTCTTCTGGTTACAACTATTTATTTATTTTTGTTGATATATATTAACCTCTCGATATCCGGTAATCATATATTAGGTTCGATTAATTCAAAATCGAGCCGTGTAGGATCCCATTAGGAGGAAGCTTCTCCAGCGCTTATTTCTCCATTCATAAGATTCAAAATTGAGAATTTGTTTAAGGGAAATCAAATTCTTTCCACTCAAACTAACAGATCGATGGTAGCTACAACTATTGATTCGAACTAAGCATTTGTCATTTAATTAAGAAAATGCTGGACGGACTCCACTTCACTTAAAACCGTTTTGTTATTTTCCATCCAAATTTTGTTATATTTCGCAGCAATTTTTGTTAAGGGAATCAGATTTTGCTGCCTGCAGGTCAATCCTGGCACTGGAGTGATGACTAGCACAATTCAGGTGCAGAACCAAATATCTTTGGGGTATGGGTGAGGGAAATTTTACAATAATATCTGCTACTTGACCTAGCAAATTATTTTCCTAGATCAATCCTAAGGATTAATTAAGACAGAGGTATTCCAAGTCTAGATTTGCCTTATTTTTATGATTTTAATATAGCTGTTGTTTCTAACCAAAACATGAACAAAAGCAAGAAGCTTTCACCGTTCCCTATGGGCAAAACCATATGTTAAAGCCTTTAAACTAACCCTAAATTCGTTATTGAGTCCCTAAATTTTAATTGATACATAGAAACCTTTAAATTCCATGATTTAAGCAATTTAATCTATAATTCTTCGACTACCATAAAAACAAGAGCTAAATTGACATAAGAACAAGGGCTAAATTGCTCATATTGTGGAATCCAGATGCCTATATGCATCAATTGAAGTTTCAGGGGTTAGTCTAAGAGCTTAAGATATGGTTTTGCCTTCCCTATTCTAATCTAAACATCCACACAAATAACTAAACAACTAAACAAGCACGGTAAGAGGAAAATGCATTTTATTCCCAAAATAGTCTCCCGCAATACACAACTAACAGTGAGAAGTCACACCAAAAGAGACCAAATAAACTTAGCAAAGTAACCTTTTTCTTGCTCCTTCAATTGAAATGACAAATTTTACAGTAACTTCAAGCCAAAAAGTGACTTAGAGGTCAAGAATAATAAAGTCTGATGTTACAGCTTCTCCTCCCAACCAGTACCAACGAGATGCTGTGGCATGATGACCATGACTGCAAGCATAATCATATCCATTAAATTAATACCACTGAAAATATCCTTGTTTAGAAACCAGACAGTCAGAGTGCATCACCATATAAATCATTCCAACCACCATTTTTCCATATTCCATGTCCTAAATCATAAACTGCTTCATACGGATTATGGTATAAAACACTTTCAAATACCTTCTCTCCCAGGTCAAGTGGGCAATGATAATCAGTAACTCCTCTGCTAGCTTTGATCTGTCAACAAAAAATTTAAGAGGTAATAAAATACTAACAACAGCAAGCATGAGAAAGAGTTGAGGGGCACAGGTCGGAGCAGAGCAATTGGAAACATGTCAAAGTCCAGAGAAAGAGTGAAATCTTTGTGAGTGTTAAAATCTCTACAACTACACTGCCTCAGTTTGATGTCACAACACAACCCCTGGAACACAGATGCATCAATGATCAATACCTGTTAGTTGCAACAGGACAGTGTCTGCATACACCAAAAAGTTTGAATTTTTACAATCACTGATCAATTTTTAGCAACCAAAATTTATGGGTTGATTCATCAAACGTAAAATTAAAACTCCCCTGGTTGTGTCCTCAGTCACCCTCTTGTGTTACAACAACAGAACAGCGAATTCCTGATGCACGAATCAAATTCTCACGACTGGTTCTCAAAAATAATCTGCAGACTATGTGGCAATCGAACACATAAATATAATATCTCAAAACAGGGGTGAAAAAAAAAAAAGGGTGAATGAACAAGAACATACGCAGGATAGCACCATAGCATTGCAGAATTAGCGCATAGATTGCAGGATCTTCATCTTTTTCAGCCAAAGCGCTTCTTCGTCTTCGCTATTACTTCTTAGCAGTTGTTCCGCAAATCTCACGGATTGCTCAAACAAGAAATTGAAGCGATCTTCACTGCGATTGGATCTAAGGCGTCTCCTTTTGTTCGGAGGCGGCGGAGGTGGTGATTCCAGGCCGGTGGTTCTCGCCATCGATTTCACCGGTAAATTCTCGTCCCAATCCATTAGCAGAAATTCGCCGGTGACGGCTGGGTGGAGCGTGAAACCGAGAGGAAAACTGAGAGAAACGGAGAAAGTAACGGGTAGAAGAGAACGACGGTGACGGGGATAATCAGGTAACGGCAACGGAAGATCGCGATCGTCGCGGGAAAAAGGCATTAATCAGGGTGAGAAAGATTAACAACAGTAAAAAGGTTAATTTATCTATTTATTGCGTAGCGTCAATTCGAAGCTATTAACTGTAGATTAGTGTTACTTTTACTCCTCAGCCTTGAAAAATAGAGCAATTAGGTCCTTAACCCTTTAAATCTTTACAAGGAGGTGCCTTTTGTTTTGTTTGATACATCTAATAATGGGTTTAGATAGGTTTAGGCAACAAGAAATAACTCTCTT